ACAGTCTGCAGGGAGATCGGCCCCCCCCCCCCCCCCCCTTTTTGGACATCTCTGGATTCGTCCCTGTTCTGTTGTCTATAGCGATAGTGTCGGGAAACGTGACGGTTTGAGGTTTGTCTCTTCAGGAGTGTTTGGTTTCTAAGTATGTCCAGCAATATTTGCTCTTTTGCTTTAAAGCGTTGTCCACAAAACGATTGGTATTTAAATATCAGCTAGAGACGTCTGATTGCCAATGACACACAAAACGATTGGTATTTAAATATCAGCTAGAGACGTCTGATTGCCAATGACACACAAAACGATTGGTATTTAAATATCAGCTAGAGACGTCTGATTGCCAAAGACATGCTTGACTTTTGCACCAGAGAAATTCATTTCGGTTGGTGATACAACAAGTTGGCCTCTCTCTACTTGTTTCAGTTAAAATCCATCTAAAATCTACGAAAATTCTTTAATTATTGACCTCCTGGTTACCAGACTTTGTGGTAGAGTTTCAAGTTTTATTTTCGTCATAAATAGTAACTTTCCCGGAGCTTTCCTGGAGACACTAGGGAAAAAATAGATATGAAAACGTTTTCAATTTTTGACGAACAATCGTTTTAATAGACATCTAAATACCTAAAAAGACCATAACTTCTTAGGTCGCTGTCTCGTGTCACACTAGTTGTGTGTTTAAGAGCAAGCAAGTACTCCAGTATATCAAAGATTCGTTCCCTCTTACCAACAGCGTATTGAATCTTGCGATTATCTCTAGAAGCTCTGTGAAGCTGTTACTAAACTGCCCAATCATCAGTTGTTTGGATCAACTTTGTTTCTTATTTTTACAGGCGCTTGACTATAAAGAATTCAAGATGTTTGCAATGGCGTGTATCGATCGACAGAACGAAATAGATCGACAAAAACGAGAAAAGATCGAGCGACAGAAGCTTCTGATTGAAGAAAAACGGAGACGAAAACAGGAGATGTTGGAGGCTGGAACTTATCGAGGCATGGTTATAGAGCGAATCAGAGACACTATCAGTCGATGTAACATTATGTAATCCTTAATACCCCCTCGATACATGAGAAGACTTGATGACGAATAATTTTGATAATTAAGGACGATGATGACGATGTTCGTGGATGCCTATGCGCTGTCTATACATTTTCAGCAATGGCACGGTGCATACAATAGGTCTACTTTCAGTAATATCATTTATTACACTTACAGTAGAGTACAATGAGTTAGTAGCATTACTTATAGGCTAACAATTCTCACTGGTGTCTGTAAAGCCTGGTATACACTGTCAAATACATCTCTATCATAATTATGAGAGTGTTTAGCGACGACGGAGGCGATGGATGGGTGTCAGTAGTTGCAGTCTGAATGGATTGCCATTGATTTTGATTCATCGCCCACAAATCAACACTGAAAAATACTAAAATACTATTGCAAAACGGTTTTCAAGAAGTATAGTTTTATATTTATTTCCTTCAACAAGTCAAATGCCTCAAGTTTTTTGACAGAAAATCATCTCATATTTTTTTTAGGAATGCATCTCAATCGTGAGCTTAAAACTGAATTGAAAACAGAAATAAAAGTCATCTTAGCAGTTTTATTATTATATAATGTGCTAAGCTTACTTAGACTTAACTTTTATTAATAATAATAATTTAATCAAAATTAAAATTATTATTAAGCCTTCCTGTACAAGAATTTGTTAGTATTCATGCTTACGAATGAATATGTATAAAAGTGCACCATACCTTATTATATACAGTGTTATATATAAAATTTAATTCTAAGAATTAACAATTAAAAATCAAGTACAGTATGATAAAATAATTACATGAATTTGATCTGATAAGCGTTGATCACATCACATGATGTTGATCACATGATTTCGTATTAATATAATTATTTTTTCACATTTTAATTCTGTAAAATTAATTAATTTATGATAACACAAAAAAACCCAATAAAAATATTAGAAGGTTTCACTCTAGATATTTTGATAGATTTCAAATCCAAAGAGGGCTTCTTAATAAGTGCATTGAATGCAAACGTTTTTCAAATGTTTAAATTTTTAATATTGTCCACCACTACAATTGTGTATAGGCAAGATTAGTGAATTCTTTGGTTTACAGAAATCCATTTGCAGGTCAGTGACAGACACCCACAGCCAGGGAACATCACTAAGTCAATCGACATAATAATAATAATAATAGAGATTTATAAAGTGCACATCTCCACCAATGGTGCTCAAAGCGCAGCCTATGTTGTGTGTATGTTTGCCTATGTCAAATGACCTTGACACGGGCATGCACAGTTCAAACTACGAATTGGCTTATCTGGTAGTACAATGCTTTCCCAGAACATAATCAGTCCATAGAGATATAATAAGAATACTAGAGCGATAACTGCAATGTATTCGATGTTCGAAATACGCAGAGCTGTGTGTGTGCACCATCCAAGATGGCTGCCATAGATTTAGCCAATCAAATTTCGCCTAAGCACCATCGTTTGCAGTTGCACCCTCAATTTACACGGACAGTTCAGTACAGCTAGTTACTCGTATGTTCGAAACTCGAGCGTTGTGGGTGTATGGGTGTAATCTACACGATTTTAATCTTCATTCCTTGGTACTTTATTTTTGAATAAGATGCTCCACTTGGCCTCGTTTTGGCTACGATAGTTTAATAATTTGTTATTACCATTACTCATTATCATTAATGAAATAATAGTCAGTCAGAGGGCTTATTTATGGTAATAATATGTATACTAAGCCTGAAGGTGGCGCTTTACTACGACCGCCATCTTGGATGGTACACATAAATAACTCTGCATTGCTTCGCCATCTTGTCAGCACTCTAGTTGTTTAATAGCTCTATGAATCAGTCTCAAATATATATAGTGAACTCTACGGTTTACAGGAATCCATTATCCTTGAATGCTGCCCTCATAAGTGCCTCCTGTTCACTTGTGAGTGGTTGAAGCGGTGAGCGCATTGGGCCACCATTATAGCCAAACCATTCCATAGATCTCTTCAAACCGGGAACACCAAACATTCTTGTAACCTGAAAAAAAATTAATAATAAGCAGTTAGAATAGTTGCATACCATACACTAGTGGAAATTATTATACAAATGTTAGATTAATGCAAGAAATTTTTTTTTTAAATGAAAGAAATTTGAAAAATATTCTTTTTTTTTTCGTTTTTTTTTTTTTTCATTCAGAATCATTTTTAATTAGTAGATTATCATATCTACAGGTACAAGCCCACACTCAATGTTCTTATGCCTGTTGAAAATGTTACCACCTTTGGCTCTGCACACTGTTAGCCAATTTTAACATCTAGAATATTATACAGTAGTGTACACACAACTGTGACATTTTAATAAATGATGCCACTGTGCACAGCAGGATTCATACAAAATTGGTCTTCAGAAAGACATTGCATTGATGTTGTAATGTCAGTCTTCTGATGTCAAAGCAGACCTGCTGGATGAAATTGAAACAAGGAAAAATAGACAACTTTACTGCTCAACCTATACTTATCTAAGCTAAAAACTCGTCAAGTAAATTTGCTTTTTTAAATTGTAGGCATCATGTGTTCACTTTTCAAGGTCCTATTCAACCTGGGTTTTTTCATGTGGGTTGCTGCGAGACGTGAGCTGAATTTAATGAATGAATGAATTATTTAACTTACTGCTCCATTAGGGGCAATGATACGATGCTGTAAGCGGACAGCTTCTTCCATTTTGCCATCCTTAAATAGTTGATGAAGTTGACACATTTCAGAGCCTAGGACGTTAGCAATGGCAGCAATAGCTCCTACAGCACCTGAAAATAGAAGACACAAATTACTATTTCAGTCAGTCGGCTAATCTGGTGGTAGCCACTGTGTGTGCGCTGAACCATGGAGATCTCTAGGTCCCTGATTCTATTCCCATCGCTGCTCTCCTTGTGTTTCAGCTGAAGGGCTGAAATACAAATTTCAAAAGCGCACCATCTTTCGGATGAGATGTTAAGCTGTTAGTCCTGTGTGTAAAATGGCCCATGTGCATGTTAAAGAACGCAGTATACTCTTTGGAACCACTGGAACCAAGTCTCATGACTTGTGGGTTATCCTTAGTGTATCAATCAAACATGATGTTGATGTTGAATGCAGCTTACAAAAATTAACATAATGTGGACTGCCATGTTGAATACTGCCCTCATATGCTAGGCTTACTTACCAACAGTGCATGCGGAGAGGAAGAAGCTGCCTGAGCCTGCCAACACTTGAAAGTCATGCTGTTTGGTCTGATGGACCACTAATCCAATCTTAGCCACCTGTTATAAAATAGAATTTAAAACTAGATCTAACCTCAATTACCAGATAATTATATAACAACACTCAATCCTAGTTTCCTGAAGTACATTTATATGGGAGTGGCTGAGTAATTATGGATTGGTTTTGGAACAATAAAAATATGTGAAAGTAGTTGTGGTACAAGCTCTCAAACTTAAGTTCAGGGTTCTACTCATCAGTCCTTATTGCACTGCAGCTGGAGTACACCAAGTAGGGTTGTGAGTATACAAGCAGTTGAATTGTAATTCGTCAGTGACTTTCGCTGTTTGCCACCCAGGAATATAAGTGGGTATTTGGAAGATGCTGTGGCATTGAATATTGAATATTATTAGTTCAACATCAGTACATTATATGTTCAACATCAGCATATGAACTGATACATGATACCATCTGATGGTATTTAAATGTATGTTGTTCTATATATAAAAATTAAAGTGATTACATACATCACCACCGCTTTCTTTTACTCCTATTACATTGGGATGGGCAGCAAGTTTGGTTATAACCTCAACACTGAGATCAATGCCGGTATTAGCTGGAACACTGTATAATATTATAGGAGCTTGACTACTGTCTGCAACCTGAAACAAAGCAACATAATACTTCTTTCTTTATCATAAAGGATGGGATGAGTGGGATAAAGTCGAGTGGATTAGTGGTAAGACACGGCGCTGTTACTACAGCCTCTTCAGTAGTCATGGACCACACCCATACACAATTTAGCACAATCACACTGCGAGTTATGGGTTTTTCTCCCACCTTAACTTTTACCTACGAAGGGAAAACTAACCTAATTTCAAATTACCAATATTATCAATTACATTCGAGCTCTCATTAATTCTATATTTGTTATTTTATTCATTGATATCCAATATTATTTAAAGTTAAAATACTTCAATCAATGATTCATTATGAGCAATTGGCTTCAATACAACATGCACCATTATTTTGACAACTGGTCCCCCAAAAGTTAGAATGTACTCACAACTATTTACCTTTGTATAGTGCTGTAATAAGGCTTGGTTGGTCATTCCGCTTTTGTAGAAGCAAGGCGTAATTACTAACAGTGCATCAGCACCAGCCGACGCCATCTCACTGGATAGCTGAATTGTATCCCTCGTAGCTGAAATCAAAAGATGCTTTTCATTAAGGGTGCATTTATACTTTGGTTTATGAAGAACCTGGACTTGTAATTTTGGCCACAGCCAGTGCGTTTACACCAGTGACGTATATGGGGGAGGGGCCCAGGGAGGAGGCTGTGTCCTTACACCAGCAGCAGTAATAGGTGAGGCAGTGTTTTTACATCATTGATGTATCTATTAGGGAGGGGCAGTGCGTTTATATAATTGGCATTTCTGATAAGGGGGGGGGGGAGAAGGAAGGGCGTGACACCTGGTAGTCACCTGTCATTGAAAATTCTACTCACATTCACATCCAGCTCCAGCAATGATTACCTTGTCGTCTGTTGCAAAACGTTTCACATGCTTCAGAATATCTATCCGTTCCTCCTTCGAGAGATATGCAAATTCTCCATTTGACCCATGAACTGCATAACCTTAAGCATGAATAATAATTTTCTCAGGTAAAATATGTGGAAATGTGAATGAAAAAAAAAATTAGGAATGGGGAAATAAAATACTGCCTTGGCTAGAGATATGGTACCGTATTTCTACTTCAATTTGCTAAAGGTACGGTAAATGGCGTTACATCACCATCACCCAATGAAGTGCTAGAATGTGCATGATGTCATCTTTCAAGACTGGCATTGCAGATCACCCATGATGAGCGGTGAGATGTACTGGGTAATTAGGACAAAAAGTACAATACACATTTCGGCACTTCATTAGGTGATGGTGATGTAAATGCCACTTACTGTACCTTTAGCAAATGGAAGTAGAAATACCGAACCGTATCTCCAGCCAAAGTGAATAAAATAATATTGGGTGAATGGTATGGAATTATTTATTCAACTGCACTAGGTACACGTACAGCTCTCACTTAAATAACTCTTACTGTAGGGGAAAAAAAGGAGAAAGAAAAGTGGAGGAGAATTCGGGGTATGGTAGGATGAGAAAAGTGGAAGAGGTAATAAAAGAGGAAAGAGAGGATAATACTGGCAGACAAAGGTGACAACTTAAAATGTTAAAACACACACACTGAAAGCTGACTGAATTGAACCTTTTATAGGATACCTGGACCTCTGCCATGAATTAAAACACAGATCGACATGAATCACTTGCACACAAACAGCTAACGGACACCACTAAACTCAGTTATAAAGCCTATCCTAAGCCTATATATTAGGAGCTTAAATAAGTAGCAACCGGCCCTAGCCTCTCCTCCTAGGCCTAGGGCCTAAGCTAGGCCTACTGTACCTTTGAACGGTATTGTATTCCAGCGGCGTAAGTTCTCCTCGAGATGATCGTATCGTATACTCTCGTCCGCGTTGAACGACATAGCGATAGGTGGAAAAATACCACATAGATCTACCTTTCTTGTTGTTGTCATACTTCTGGTGTCCTTATACACCAAGCCAGACCTCCGAAATCCAAGACGCAACATTCCGAAAACTTGGCAGTTCTGAGTTAGAAATGGATTACTGTAGTTCATAAACTTACTTCTTTCCCATCCATGTGTGTTTACAAAATAAAGTCGTGTCATAACAGCGTTAAAGGTAGTCGCTTCTTAGCATACAGAACAGGGAGGTTTTATGAAGTTGGCTCTCATTGGTTGGTTCATGGACCTATTAATAAGATTAATAAGATCTTAATAGGTCCATGGTTGGTTCTCATCGGTTGTTGGTTTGTTGCTAGAATCTTATTATGCAAAATAAAGCCTCCCTCGAATAAAGCTCCCTCAAAAACCCTTCTCAACCGTAAGATAAAGAAAGGTATAATGAACCAAAAAAGGACTCAGAAATAGTTTAAGAAATAATAAAGAGAGAAGGAGAGGAAAGGAGGAAGATAGAAAATGAAAATAATGAAATGTGTCAATTTTGGTCACGATCCGAAGTAGGGTGATATGGGGACCATTTAAAGAATAGGTTTACCGTATTACCGTAGGCGGGAACATATAGCTATATGATGAATATTTAAATTAGTGCAATTACAGTAAAAATGTGTACAGCGTTTTATTATACATTCTGACTTTTTTGGAACTTATTGGGAATATTTTTGACTCATTTTTACAATTAAACATGTGACGCTAAAAATCAAATCCCCATATTTCTATTTCCAATTATTTCCATTTCAGCACCAATACAATGCATGTATCTTGTTTGTCAGCTATAAGAGTAAAACTTGCCAGTTAGCTTAGTACAAGTCAGGAATTGGCAGTTGCGCCGATAACGTTACATGCGTTCGAAAAGTGAAGTGGTTTGGCGTACATTTTGGTGTTGATTATGGACCATTCAAATCAAAACGTCGCAGAGCAGATATCTCAAAGACTAAACAATTTATCTAAATGAAACCTTCGTGTTAGTGTAATTTTTTCAAGTAGATTTCGGTTGGTGGTTGGAAAGAAGAACATACTTTTGAGGAATTATTTTATAGAAAGGGATTGACGGTGGGTGGAGATATGCTCTCTCTGAGTGTTCTTGTTATTATTCTTATAAACGCCCCAGGGCATTTATTCGAATAAATACGGTGCGTCAACATATGCAATCGTTTAATTTTTGTATCTGCTTATATATTTATCTGTCAGGCACGCATGGAACCAACTACATCGGATTCTATTATCCTTATTATATTATAAGTCATTATTTTATATTTATCATTACAATGCCTCACGTTATTATATTATACAGTATACCGTACTGTATTTATTCGAATCAACTTCCTGGGTTTTTGACCGGGCATTTATTCGAGGGAAGTGTTTATTATTATTTTTTGTTGTCAAATGGATACGTATATATACTCAAATAAACGTCCCTTACTGTCTAAGTATATGTTTACAATCATTTAGGGGGCGTTCAGAGAGAGGCGTTTATTCCAAGATGAGGCTGTGGGGGTGCGTTTATACGAATATGGTATACTGTTCTGTATACCTTATTCATATGACTAACATTAATAGGCCGAAGGCGTTTCCAAAATTCGTCTAATACAATTTTAAGCCTCTTATGTCAAGGTATGCAATCGTTTCATATATCGTTTTCATATATATAATATACATACACACACACACACACACACACAC